CCCCCCGGACTGCCCTCCCCCGTGTGCGGGGCCGGGCCGTACAGCTCCCTCCGACAGAGGCGACACCCTCCCCAGCTAGAATTGTCCCGTCTCTGATTTTAGCATCCATTGCTCCCTCTCCCTCATGACAGGGTTGAGCCCCCCCCCGCACCCCATCCCTCGGGGAAGCCGTCCGGGAGCGGGGAGCCAGGGGGATGCACCAGGGGAAAGCATCCTGTTGTGGGCAGGAATTCTGGCCTTTCCCGGCGGGACAGCCTGCGGGCGGAGCTGCGAGGTAGGCAGAGGCCGGTGTCACGTTTCCCCCAGCCGCGGGGACAGACCCGGTCCAGCTCCCGGGGTTTGCAGAGCAGGGAAGGGGCACAGACCAGCGTGATGCGCCCTGCCCTGCTGTTCTGCTCCCTAGGACAGAGGAAAGGCAGGGAGATCTGAACTCTGCCCAGGGAGAGAGGACACAGCTACAATATAAAGAACATCCAGGAGCTAGGAGCTGAGTGCCTGCTGCGCAGGACGTAGGAGAAAGCAACAGATGCTGCCTGGCTTCCCCGAAGCTAAGGGGAAAGGCCAGATACAAAGTGGGGGAGATATAAGGTGGAGAGGAGGAGGAGGAGGATACATGGAACAGGGAAACTGGAGGCTTGAGGAGAAGCATCCATCTCCCACCCCCAAATGTAGGGATTGCATTGACAAAGGAAACTGAATTTGGAACAGCAGCTCATGAACAGTGGACAAATTTAGTCGCTACAAAACTCATTAAAGCATTATTCAATAGTCATGGTATTTTTTTATCTCTGGCTCCCCCATATGAAAAAAACCTGTCTGCGCCGTTGTCGAACACAGAGAAGTGCCATGCAAGAGACAGAAACAGGGAACTTCAGGGAGCAAGTTAAGGAAGGAGGGAGGGGAGCTGGCCCTCAGAGGGAGGGAAGAGGAGTTGCTGCCCAAAGATGTCAGATGGGGCTAAAGCATTGCCAGCCCTTGTGATACTACCCCGCCTCATGATTTTAGGGGCTGGGTTTAAGCTGCTCAGGCTTTTAGCAATAACTTCTCTGTGATTTCCCTTCTCCCCCCATAATACAATTAGCCACCCTCTCCCCTTATCTTGAATGGTTTGGAAGCCAGGCTACCCTTGGCTAATATGACCAGGCAGGCTGCTCTGAGGAGCAAATGAAGTGAGGGAAGGGGATAAAGAGGATAATGTAGAAGCCCAGAAGGGAGACCAAGAAGGAGTCAGACATATACAGGCTGGACAGAGATGTTGTTGGATGCAGGGGAATGTGGGGAGGGGAGGCAAGAGAAGAGCACCATAGGAGGCAGGGGAACGATGGGGTTAGAAAGCAGGGCCAGCTCCAGCTTTTTTGCCACGCCAAGCGGCGAAGGGGGGGAAAAAAGATAAACCTGATTGAGCTGCTGCCGAAGTGCCACCGAAGAGGAAGAGAGGGAGTGAAGGACCCGCCGCCGAAGACCCAGACGTGCCGCCCCATGAACGGACGGACTGCCACCCCTTTCTATTGGCCGCCCCAGGCACCTGCTTCCTTCGCTGGTGCCTGGAGATGGCCCTGTTAGAAAGGAAGAATAGGGTAGATGAGAGGAACTGGGTGGGGAAGTCAAGGATAGGGTGGGAGGCAGACACACAGGAGCCTGAAAACAAAATATCATTTGTTCAAATTGTACATGGTTTTACCTTTAGCAATCGTGTTTGCATATTGTATTGCATACCCTACACGTCCCCCTACCCTGAGTTCCTTTGTACAATCCTGGATTTGTTAGGGGTGGCAGATCTCTTCATAATCCCTGCAGGGGATCCTCAGCTGCAGGACAGTGGTTGGCCCTAGACTCCCTGCTCTCATACTGCCCTTCTCTTTCAGTTGCTCTGGGAAGGACTGGAGATTGAGGCTAACGAGACAATCAGGGTGCAGGATGAGGAACTGGCCTCTCTGCGCACAGCAAAGCGATTTCTCCAGATCTTCCAGCACCAGGTTCCCAAGACATCAGAAGGGATCAAGGAGCAGCTGAAACATCTTTCACAGGCAGATGCCCCTCTGAGTCTGGTAGAGTTTGATCAGCTTCTCTTCACCAGCGTTTACTGCGCTTATCAGATTCGCTCCATTCAGGGCCTGGACAAAAATCTCTGGATCAGTTTCTTTTCTCAACTTGTTGATGAAATCCTCCATGATCTCTGCAAAGGATTCTGCCCTGCAAATTCCACTCTCCTGGCTTCCTGGCCCTGGAAGGAGAAGCCTTTTTATTTAACCTTACTGAAAAAGTCATATCATTCCAGCCTGGCCATGACGAAGAGAGGCACCGAGTAAGGAGACTGACATGACGAGATTCAATTGCATTCTTGTTACTCTGAGTGCTGCCAGTCATCCCAGATTATGCTGGTTACTGTGCAAAAATGCCACCATTCTTCCTCTTTTGCTTTCTGTATTGTACTGGCAACATTCTAGGCATTTATCCAACCAGATATTGTCCCATCTTTAAATGTGAAACGAGGCCTGGGATGTCTCCCTAGGATCTCCATAGAAGTCACACTTCTGAGATGCACTTCTGCCTTGATCACTGATGGCCATTAGAGATGCCACAGCACTTTTTCCAGAAGTCCAGGTATTAGCCTGTGATGGCTGAATTCCATCTCAGGTAATTCCATTTTGCCTCCCTAAATTCCCCATGGTTGCAGTTGGATACAGTATTTTTCCCTTACTACAGTAACTCACTGTACAGCATAGCTGTGCTGTTCATACAACTGCTGTGTTCCACTTTATAGGTGGCTACATTCTGTGGTGATTCATATTAAGTTCTGACTCATTTTATCTGTCATCCCATACCAGGTGCCTGGAACAGTTTCCCAAGTAATGTGCACCCATTTCCTTCCAAAAACTCTTGAAAATGTACTGATTCCATGAACCCTTCTGGTATAGATATCATTCCCTACTTTGTATTAGTACAGAATGGGTATTTGCTTGTCTCTCATCTACTAAACTTTTGAGGGTAGGGATCCAGTTATTTGTTCAGCAGATTTTACCTCTTCTAGAGAGTCTTCTTCTACATCTGTGGTACTTTACAAATAAAGTAATTGGAACAGTACTGTATATGTGCAATCATTATTTTTATAATCAGGAATTCAATCAATGTAGAGCTCAATTATGCTTCTTTGTCATACTCCCTACAGCATGGTATTAGCAACATAAATTCAGTTAGTCCAGGTGAGTTTTATTTGATATTGGTTTCTTGGTTTGTGCTGGCCCTCCCATTTATACTGTAGATGCACTAATCCTGAGCCTCTACAGCCTGCGCTTTGACGGTTAAGGTCATACTTTCCACACAGTTTTACTAGACTCACAACTTCCACAGAGGAGCCACTTTCAGAAATGCATGCAGAAAATGACATTCCCAACAGCAACAATTAACTTTTGACCTAGTTTATATTTTTCTCTCTCATTATCTGACAGATGGAGATGAGAAACAGTAACCCAATAATGACAGGCCCAGAAGCAAGATGTAGGTTTTGGGGCACGGAGAATGATTTTAAAGGTCAGAGTTACAATTTTACAGGAGAATAGGGAGTTTGCAAGGCATAGATCTTGCAAAGAGTGTAGAAATTGGGACCAGGGTCTTATTTGCATTCCAACTCCTGGAAACCGGAAATAAAATATAAATGCTGCCTCACGCTATAATCCTACACTTCTTTCTATACCCCTAATCCCAAACCTTCACCTATTTATGGAAGTCACTTAGTCTTATAGGGGTAAGATTTCCATGGGGGTCTTGCAAATGAATATAGTTTGAGGTAGAGAAATTGAAATGAACATAAGGCTGGGTTTGGGTTTCACAAGAGGGTGAAAGATTTGAGACTACAGTATTGCTAAGGTTTAAGTAAGAACCCTAGGTGAGGTGCATCTTTCTTGGTTGAGACTATGGGATTTGATATGAGGACCTCAGATAAGGAGGTACTGTCTCGGATTAGAGTTTTCATGGGTGATTAGGTTAGAGGCTTTGTCTTCTCTTGAACAAAGACTGTGAATGAAGCCAAGTTGATGGCAAGTTTCAGCCAAAGTTTAGGCTGAGACCTACAAAACCTTATTGAATTTGGGAACCAAGCCAACATTTGAACACAGGTCTCACACAAGACATTAATCCCATAGCTCTGAGGAGCCCCCTAATATCCATTGCTCCACTGAACTCTTGGGTTCCCACCACCTCTCAGATTACTGTGCTACCACTGCCCCCAATCCCCTGCAATCTTAGTGCCACCCACACTGATCCCTCTATAACAGGAGTGGGGCTCACTGGGACACAGTGTGGAGCAAAGGCAAGGACTATGAGAGCATGGACATTGAAATCACCTCTTATACCTTAGAAGTATGGTGGTGGCTTCCCCCTAAGGCAGGGTTAGGTAGAGCAACAAGGAAACAAAATGTTGTGTTATGAAGTCTAGTCACACTATAACGTTAAGAGTGCCCATTTCTTGGCAATAGTAGAGTTCAATACAGGCAGTATCACCATACACATTCAGACCATTGCCATCCCCAAATGTTCAAAAATCATGAGCCAGGCACCCCCAAACTCAGGAGATTTTTAAAAACAACACACATTTTGGGTTATTTTTATTTGCCTTCTTATTTAGGAGCCTTTAGGGTATGCTTGATTCATGTTTTCAAACTTTTCTCCATAACCACAAGAGCTAGAAACTTAGTTGGGAGTTTTGTTATGAAAGCTGAGATTCACGGACAGACGGACACAATCTGTGGATTTCAGCAGCTGAGGCTTTAAGCAAAAACACCAGATACTGTATCATGGGATTCGCAATAAAATCATAAAAGTTGGCAACACTGGATACCTCCTCCCGCAATTCCCTGACCTCCCACAAAATACATATACTCTGGCACAGTGACATACAATCTAACTCTGTTTAACAGTCTTCACAACACAAACACATGCAATAGTTCACACAATATCAGAGCCTCTCTCCTGCCCAGAATCAGTGTCGCAGGCAGTTCTATACACACAAGTCTCCGCAAACCCTGCACATTTTATTTTTTTACTTTTATTAAATTCATTTCAATTACATTTTCCCTCCCCCAGGCCTCCCTTGGATGTGCCAGGAATGTCACCAGATGCTGTGCTTTCTGGTAGGATTGCCTTCAGTAGGTCTCCCAGCATTTCTGCAGCATCCCCCTGAATCACAACTCCTCATTTCACTGCTCCTGCCACCAAACTACCTCATGCTTTATGCTTAAATTGAACGGTAACACTGGACTCACACTACCCCCTGCAAAGATCATTCTACAGATAAAAGACAGAAACAGCAATGGCCCTGCAGCTAGGACATGAGCATGCAGCATAAGGAAAGCACTGGACACACATTAGCATGCTCTTTAACATTGTCACGTAGAGGGTGACGTCCAACCAGGACCTCCACCCAAGTCCACTGCATCTTGGCTTCTCTTACGTTCCTTTCACACCTGCATTTAGATTTTTGACCTCGTGGGGGAACTGGGACTTGGGGGTGGCTTTGGCTGAGCCTCCGGATAGATAAGGAATCCTGTGAAGGTGATGTACTTGCCATGGTTGCTGTAGGCACCATAGCCATCATGCTGGTGGCTGTAGAGCCAGACAGTGTCTCCGTAGTGCAGAGGTAACATAATGCTCTGGCTCTGCATCTCCCGCCTCTTGGAGTGGTTGTCATCATAGATCATGGCCTGGACCTCATTGTGGTTTTTCATAAGTTTCACTGACATGGTCTTAAAAGGCATTTTGCCAATGGTGAAGGAGAAGTAATATGCGCCTGGCACGCGGCACAAGAAGATGCCACTTGAGGAATTGAAATCCCTTCCAATGTTCACAAACTCTATGTCAAATGTTATTGGCTCATGCTGGGTTTGCTTCTCATCTGTTCCCAGGAGGCTTTGTGAACGAGCAACAGAAAATGCAGAGCGAGGATCTTGTTCTCTGGCGGGCTGATCGGACAACACGTGTCCCTCTGAGGCTTCGTTCTGCTCTCCTGAAAGTTGATGAATAGCTGGATGGGGCAGCCCTGCAGCTCCCCCCAGCTCCTGAGAGATCACACCATTTTGGAAGTAGGCAGAAGTATCTGGATAGATGAGATACCCATTGAAAGTTGTGTATGGGCCCACATTGCTGTAGAGGGCATACTTGGGATCCCCATGTAAACGCAGCCAGACTGTATCTCCATAGTCCAGCTGCAGCATGGCACTCTGGCTAGCCACCTTCCGCTCCTTACGGTGATGCTCATCATACACAATCACTTGCACCTCATTCTTGTTTCTCATCAGCATGACAGACAAGTTTTTCTTGGGGTATTTCCCAACCGTGAAGGAGAAGTAATAGGCCCCAGGGATCCGACACCTAAACAATCCAGCCTTGGGATCAAAGTCACTGCCAATGTTCACATAGACCTTGTCAAAGGTGATGACCATCTCAACGCTCCCTTCCATGCTGCTGGTTCTAGCCACAGAGAAAGCAGAGCGGAACTCAGTCCCAGGATCGGTGGGGTAGCTATACACAAGGGTACAGGCCATGTGGCAGAGGAAGCTAAACAGGAGCTTAGCTTTCAGGGCCATCATCATATCTGAAAAGAAAAAGGGAACACATTTTAGCGTAAGTATTTTCAACTTATACACCAAGTGAAACTCAGAACTGTACCTTGTTACATAGACTCCAGGGCCTGCGTCAGGCTTTGATGAGTCCTGAGTCCCATCTCTGATCAGTGTGAGTGAAGACAGACGCTCTAACTAAGACCTGGGACCATGACTCAGTTCAGATCCCAGGGCTGTCTGCAGCTAGAGGTGGAGCTTCTAGTCCTGTGCTCAGAGGCCTAAAAATCCCTTTGCTTTGAGAGCCTTGCAGCCTTCAGGGGTAACTACATGGAGCCCTGCTGCTCACGGAGCACAGAAATCTCAACCCTCATCAGGATTCTGGGAGGTCTCCTTCTGGAAACACTTTTAGTTACAGGATTGAGATGCTATGACTAGGAAGCAACATTACCCAACATAAGCCTTGTACTATGCTAAAATGCAGGTGAGGAACATATGGTCTAGAGATTACCATGCAGATGTCGCTGTGCAAGATTAGCCAAAGGGCTGATACAGCACTAGTTGCTTCAAAGGGTGTAGGACAGGGAAGTTGGTGGACCCTGTTAATTAGGCATCCTACTTATATCTACACTGCAATGTAAGCATAGGGTTCAAACTCAGGCCCTAACTCCCATTCTCTACACACGAATTGCGCTAACCCATAGTTTAGACCTAAAGTCCCAGGACCCCATGGGGTGGAGGGTCTGAGCCTGATTCATGCCAGGATCCAGGGTTCAAACCCTATTGCTTTGCAGTGTAGACGCAGTCACACTGGATTCATGCTCTAGGAGTCCACCAAAAGTATCTCACAATCCCACAGGCCAATTTTCTTTGTCCTCTAGACAGTCAAGTTTAGCAGACAGTCAAGTTTTCCCACACTGCATCAAGAACATAGGGTTAAAGCAGCCACACTTTGGGAGGGCACTAGAAAGTCTGGGATATGGGTGGTTGGACTCAGGCCCACATAATGCAATGTAGACACTGGAGCTCCAAGATGGGACCCAGGGTTTAACAATTCCTAAGCTGGGGTTACAAATAAGTATAGATGCTCAAATCCTATGTTAACAAACCCAGGGTCTGCTAACTTGAGTTCTACTAACCCTGGGCTTACATTGCAGTGTAGATATACCCTTAATGTTGTTTACACTGCAGTACCACCTCCCTTCCCTGAAGAGCTCACAAATTAACAGACAAAGGGAGGTGAAAGAAAGACCATGTACTGCAGAATGCTTAAACTGATGATAGGCCAGGGTTAAATGGTTTTATTAAAACAGATATATTCATTTATCTTACATCAATTTGTTATATATAAAAATTATCCTGAGCTGCCCCCCCAGACTTGCCATTGGTTGATTATTTCTTGTAAGCATCATGGTAGAAGTTAGTTTCAAGTGAGGGATTTGAATGCAGAGAGCGTAGTAGCTGTGGGAACCAGTTCAGGAAAGGTAGAGCCCAGAGCTCGAGCCTGAGACTGAATGTTTACATTGCAATTTTATAGCTCCCCAGCCTGAACCCTGTGAGCCTGAGTCAGCTGACACAGGCCAGTTGTGGGTGTGTTATTGCAGTGTAGACATACCCTTATACACAGGTTGTGTGTCTGCACTGAGTACCATGATGACTGTGGCATCCGTACTTGCATTTGGAATGGGAATGAAAGAAATGCTGAATCCTTTTCTGTCATCAGCTACGTTAACCAGCATGGTTCTAACATGCTGTCTGTGCTCCAAGGCTGACTCAGTGCATTTGGGAGTCAGAGGATCGGCCAGTGACAGCCCCTCTGGCAAAAGACACACAAAGGGACTTTATCAGTTTAATAAACTCTTCAGTGAATTCTGACCTTATGTTGCCTCAAACAACAACTGCCCAATTTCAATTCCAAAGCAGATTTCTCTGTAAAAGGGTCACTTTGGACATGAGGGGAAAGGGTTTCAGAGCTCAGGCTCCAGCCCAAGCCCAAAATGTCTACACTGCAATTTTATAGCCCCTCAAACCAAGACCCAAGAGCCCAAGTCAGCTGACCCAGGCCAGTGACAGGTCTTTTATCACAGTGTGGACATAACCAGCTGCAGCGGAGTTTCTGATTTCACTTTATCAGCTCTTCCCAATAACTCACTCGTAAATTATTTAAATAAAGAAGTTAATTATGCTGTGTTTCCAACAGCATGTGTTATTTCTGTGACAACTCCCACTCACCACTCTCAGGATTATTTAGGTTATTTTTCCTATTTAAAATCATTTAGAAAGTGTCTGGGGGGCATTGATACCAAAATACTAATGGCCAATTAAGCTGGAATACACCTCCCCCATATCACCATGCCAATATCACAAAGTCCTCAGCCAGCTACAATGCCGCATTAAACAGAAGTATATTGCATCCTTTCTTGAACTCGGATGCTGTCGTTGCAAGATTCTCAGCTAGGAACAACTAGAATGCCCACCCACTATTCCAATAGGTCTTCTGGTGTTTGTTAAATTTAAACCCACATTGGCATCTCTTTCAGTATAACTGAACTTTTCCAGCAGATTGCCCAGGCAGTGACAGTTTCAGTGTGTGAAGCTAGTGATAGGCACTGCAGTCACTGGCTTCAGGTCACTTCATGATATAGGCTCTGAAACTAAGGAGTGAGGTAAGATGAGAGCTCCAGAATAGGACTAAAAGCCAGGTCTCCAGAATGGACCACACAAGCTCTAGCTCCAGGGCCACATAGCCTGTTTGCTTCAGCGCTCTCACTGCAGCAGTCAGGATTCTGGCCAACCCACTCTTCCCTCCCTTACCACCGATAGCGCTGGCATATTTGGTGTCACCATAGAAGCGCACTATGAAAACCAATCAAATACAGGAGGACAAAGATAGAGTGTTGCCTTGAAGCAGTCTATCCCACTAAGGAACAGTGGCCCATGGGGAAGAATGGGAGAAGAGGTTTGAGACACCATAGTGCAGCAACAGGAATGAAGAACATGGAGACAAACTAAACTGCACAAAGCATGCTCTAATTTCCAATTTCTAATTTTAAAAACACCATAGTAGAGGCTTAATGTATACCCCAAGTAAAAAAAAACAGTAAGAGGACCAAAAATGCCACCGTGGCTAAACAACAGAGTAGAAGAGGTGATTAGAAACAAAAAGACATCTTTTAAAAATTAGAAGTCAAATCTTAGTGAGGAGAATAGAAAGGAACAAACTCTGGCAACTCAAGTGTAAAAGTATAATTATGCAGGTACAAAAAGAATATGAAGAGCAACTAGCAAAAGACACAAAAACTAAAATAGCAAAAAAAATATGTAAGTATATAGCAGAAGCAGGAAGCTTGCTAAAAAAAAAAAAATCAATGGGGCCACTGGACAATTTAGGTGCTAACAGAGCACACAAAGAAGACAAGCCTATTGCAGAGAAGCTAAATTAATTCTTTGCATCAATCTTCTCTGCAGAGGATGTGAGGGAGATTCCCACATGTAAGTGACAAATCTGAGTAATTGTCCCAGATTGAGGTGTCAACAGAGGATGTTTTGAAACTAATTGATAAATTAAACAGTAATACATCACCAGGATCAGATGGTATTCACCCAAGAGTTCTGAAGGAACTCAAATATGAAATTGTAGAACTACTATCTGTGGTACATAACCTATTGCTTAAATCAGCCTCTGTACTAGATGGCTGGTGGATAGCTAATGTAATGCTGATTTTTAAGAACGGCTCCGAAGGCAATCCTGGCAATTACAGGCTGGTAAGCCTAACTTCAGTACCAGGTGAACTGGGTGAAACTACAGTAAAGAACAGAATTATCAGACACATAGATGAACACAATTTGTTGGGGAAGAGTCAACATAGCTTTTGTAAAGGGAAATCATGCCTCACCAATCTATTAGAATTCTTTGAGGGTGTTGTCAAACATATGACCAAGGGTGATGAAGTGGACATAGTGTACTTGGACTTTCAGAAAGTCTTTGACAAAGTCTCTCACCAAAGGTTCTTAAGCAAAGTAAGCAGTCATGGGCTAAAAGAGATGGATCAGTAATTGGTTAAAAGACAGCAAACAAAGGGTAGGAACAAATGGTGAGTTTTCACAGTGGAGAGACATAAATAGTGAAGTCCCCCAAGGATCTGTAGTGGGACCACATTCATAAATGAGCTGGAAAAGGGGGTAAACAGTGAGGTGGTAAAGTTTTCAGACCATACGAAATTACTTAAGATAGTTAAGTCCAAAAGCTGACTGCAACGAGATCTCACAAAACTGGATGACTGGGCAACAGTTATGGCAGATGAAATTCAATGATAAATGCAAAGTAATGTACATTGGAAAACATAATCTGAACTATACATACAAAATGATGGGGTCTAAATTAGCTGTTACAACTCAAGAAAGAGATCTTGGAGTCATTGTGGATAGTTCTCTTAAAACATTCGCTCAATGTGCAGCAGCAGTCAAAAAAGCAAACAGAATGTTGTAAATCATTGAGAAAGGGGGATAGATAATAAGACAGAAAATATCATATTGCCTTTCTATAAATCCATGGTACACCCAGATCTTGAATACTGCATGAAGTCCTGGTCACCCCATCTCAAAAAAAGACATATTAGAATTGGAAACAGTACAGAGAAAGGCAACAAAAATGATTAAGGGTATGGAACAGCTTCCATAGGAGGAGAGATTAAAAAGACTGGGACTGTTTGGCTTGGAAAAGAGACGAGTAAGTGGGGATAGGATAGAGGCCTATAAAATAATGAATGGTGCGGAGAAAGTGAATAAGGGAGTGTTATTTGCCCCCTAACATAACACTAGGACTAGGGGTCACCCAATGAAATAAATAGGCAGCAAGCTTAAAACAAACATAAGGCAGTACTTCTTCACACAACACACAGCCAATCTGTGGAACTCATTGCCAGGGGATGCTGTGAAGAACAAAACTATTACGGTGTTCAAAAAAGAATTAGATAAGTTCATGGAGGATAAGTACTTCAGTGGCTATTAACCAAGATGGTCAGGGACACAACCC